CCCCCCCCCCCCCCAAAAAAAAAACCCCCAAAACTATACGTAAAATAAATAAACAAACTGGAAAGCTTATTTACATCTTAACCTTGGCAGATAGCTGTGACTTTCTGGGAAGCCAACAGCTTACTTTCCAGAGGTGCTTTGAAATCAATAGGAGCTGAAGGAACTCAGAATCTCTGGAAGTCAGTTTCTTGGTGTATATGTGATGCTAAGGACCTGCCTAAGTTGTAGCATGGCAAAGGGTTTCTCACAACCTGCTTGTGGTGCGCACAGCCAATTTCACAGACATTTCGTGGCAGCCCCACCCATTGCCGCTGATTGGTGGAAGGTGCCTTCACTCAGTCTGTCACTACTGTTTTTTTTTTGTCACCCCCATCACCCCTGATTCGTGGAGAGCACCTTCACTCAGTTTATGTCACTACTGCTTTTTTTGGTTGATTTAGCAGGAAATTGCTGTCAATTTGAGTTTTCATGGCGATCATGGACAATGCTGTTTTTTTTTTGTGGTTTCCACAAAGCATGCAAAACCACGATTTAGTTAGATCCCTAGTGAAGGGTAAAATAGGTTCCTTTGTCTCATTGCCTATTTTTGTCTCGTTCTAGGACCATTGTCTTCATTGTTCTGTTCTCTCAGTATCTGAAAAATGTGCCTATGCCACTGCCGGCCTACCAGCAAGCCAAGAAATGCCACTTCTCTAGGATCTACCTCTTCCAGATCTTCCCAGTGAGTTATAGCTTCTGGACTTGCATGACCAGACAATTCACTTCAGTAGGAACAAACTAAATCAGCTTCAGTTTACTCATGCAAAAAATCCTATTTCCATAAATTTACATAGGAGTCAGTAGGATTACTTGGGTGAGTGACTACTCCCCAGTGTGAGAGAGACCTTCACAATATGGCTTGTACTGTATTTTCCCCTCTGTTTTGCTGTTAGAAATTCACTGTTGTGTTAGAAATGTCCCAGAGGGCAGGTATTTCTAGCCTGCCCATGCTAGTACATGGAGGTAGGCCATCTTCAAAATCCAGCGCAATGACAACAGGTGCCTCGTGCTTCTGGACTCTGGATACCTTGTTTCCATTCTGCAATGGAGTCTGAGCGCTCATACACATTTTATACCAAGCCTGTGTAATATCACAATGAACTCCAGTGCAGGTAAAGATTCTGGGAGTTTTTTTCCAAGATGCTGATAGTAAGAAGGGCTAATAAGTCCTTGTCAGTATTCTCCAGTGAATTCAAACACAGACATGTCCAAAAAAACTGTCTGGATAACAGGAGCACTAATTTGTCCAACAAGGCTTCTAACAAGGTTGCATGTCCACTTGAACCTATGTGGCCTGTCAGGCCAGCATGGGTAAGATGAGGCTGATTTCAGTAGCTAACAGAACACAAGAGAATAATGTGGCTAGCATCATGTCCAGCTATCTTTGATTCCTAGCCTGAATGATCAGGGACCCATTTACACCTAGGCTGACTGGAGGTTGCTTTCAGACCAAGTCTAGAACATAGCTGTTAAATTGTGCCTCTTAAGGCATCTTGCTATGGCTTCAATGTTCTGCCATAAGTTTTCTAAGTTAATGGAGCTGAGGCACTGATGTATCACCTTCATGTTATATAATAAGTAAACTGAAAAAACCTGCACTTTCAGAATGCAATGGAGGCTCATTCATCTGTAGTGCATAAGGCAGAGTGTTGATCTACTGGAAAAGACCATAGCTAATTAGCATCCTTTTCTTATGTGACTGGATATAGGTACTTCTTGGTCTCTCCCTCACATGGCTGATGTGCTTTGTGTTCACTGTGACCAACGTCTTCCCTTCGAACCCTGAAGCTTATGGTTACTTGGCTCGGACTGACATCAAAGGGGATGTTTTGTCCCAAGCCCCCTGGTTCCGGTTCCCTTATCCAGGTATGGTTAGAAGTTTCATATCCAGATTATTTAGTGCTCCTTCTCCTTGTTTTTCCCAGTGTCAGTTTGTGTGTGTGCATGTGGCGATTCTGCTATTAATGATCATGAATGATGTGGGGGACATGAAAGACCACTGAGCAACCCAAACTGGAATGCTCAGACTGGACTAAGTAAAAAACAGTCAGGAAAAAGACCAAGTAAAAAGCAAATAATGGCAAATATGATCAGTGATTTACTTCAGTGGATTTCACAGGAAGCCTAACCCTAGCTATCTAAATTTTGCTTTTTATTTGCAGGCCAATGGGGTGTTCCAACAATCAGCTTGGCTGGAGTATTTGGGTTCATAGCTGGAGTGATTTCCTCCATGCTGGAGTCAGTGGGGGATTACTATGCCTGTGCCCGACTCTCTGGAGCCCCACCCCCTCCGAAGCATGCTATCAACCGTGGGATTGGAGTGGAAGGAATCGGTAGCCTTCTGGCTGGGGCCTGGGGTACAGGGAATGGCACCACTTCTTACAGTGAAAACGTTGGAGCTCTGGGAATCACTCGGGTAAGGTTTATATCTGTATCTTCAGCTGGTAGTAATAGGACACTGGGTTGTCAGCAGTGTTGAAAAATTCTCTCTCTCTGTCTGTCTTGGTTTTGTTAGACTTGCACTTATAAACATACTATGCCCATTTAAAAAAACATCTTCTGCTGGTCTATATGTAGTGGCCTTTACCCACTTCCTCGTGGACACGTGGCCACTTCACAAAAGAAAATACATTTGCTAAGAGTTGGGACCTGGCACAAGTTTCAGCAGATTCAGGAATCAACAGGGTCATTCCAACCGAACTTCCGGTTCTTCTCTGAAGGCAGTTGCTTCATTATGAAGTGTGGGAGAAGTATATTGGTTGTGTATGTGAGAAGCTTGCATAGTCATTGGTCATCAATGGTCAGGAATAGCCAGCATAGATTCAAGAAGGGCAAGTTCTCGCTAACAGCTTTCTTCTGCGACAAGGTGACAGGCTCTGTGGGTTGAGGGACAGCAATGGATGTGATGCACCTTGATTTAATAAGGCTTTTGATGCCATCTCCATGACATTCTCATTAATAAGATGAGAAAATACAGTGCATAGTGCAGCAGGGATCCCAGAGCTATGAAGCTGGGATTGGGGGCCGGGGCATCCAAGTGGTGTAGTGCAGTGGGGGGTGATATAGTGTGGGGCAGCAGCAGGGATAACAGCATGGTTTGTGGCCCAGGGGACCTGTGGCCCATGCTGGTGTGGCCCATAAGGGCTTGCAGCCCCCAGCTGCTTAGATGTTGGACATCTCTGGACTAGATGAAATTAGTGTAAGGTGAATACTTAACTGATTGGATTATTGTGTTCATTTGTTCAATTTGTTGACTAGTCATCAACAGCTTGGTGTCTAGCTGTTAGTTAGAATGAATGAGGTTCCCCAGGGCTCTATCCTAGGTCTGGTATTGTTTAATATCATCGTTAGTGATTTGGATCATGGAATTGAGTGTGCATTTAGCAGGTTTGCAGATGACACCAAGAGGGGTGTAGTGGCGGTGTTCTTTAGTGCACAGCAATGCATATGGTAGACACTGATGGGGCTGACTGGGGCATGAGGGTGCTTCAGTGCAGGGCTGCCTGCTAGCTAGCCCCACACTTGGAGCACCCTTGTGCCCCAGCCGGATCCTTCACAGCAAGTTGAGCTGGGTGGAAGCAGGCCTTGGCTGGCAAACTAATCCTCGGGGCCCCCTGCAAACTGGGGCTGCTTTGACCCGCTCAATGTGTTGCGGTCCCAGGTGCATGTGAAGATATGATGCCTGGGAGTAGTAACTCTGGCACAATATGCACTGGAATTACTGCTTCACATTAATTGCATATGTAGATGCCTCCGGTGCTACCTAAATTTAGTATTAGAATTTAGGTGGTGGCACTGAAGTCATGAAAATGGCTTGGACAAGAATAGTACGTTCTCTGAAGAGAGTGTTTATTGAGTACAGCAATTTACCATTTTAAGTATAAGACAAAGAAACAACAGAGAAGTTTGCCTAGGTTAATGCACAACAGAAACTTTGCATAAATCTGACATAGTCCCGAAGACAGAGCATTTCCCTGCAGCTGGCTAGGCGTTCAGGAGTCTCTGGGGTCTTCAGTTCTTCTTGGCAGGTGGGACAGGGTTCCACAGTACTCAGTTTTGCTTGCTCTTTTATGGGAGATCTGCCCTCCTTGTTCCCCTTGGTTGCCTTGACAACTGCACATCTTTTGCTCCTCTCAGTATGTTTGTCTGGTGGTTCTGCAGAGTCCCTGGTTTTCGCAGGCTTTATCATGTTTATGGTATGGGTGGCACTGTTTACAGAGTGCCTACTGCCCACTTTGAAATCTAATCTGTTGTAGCTCCCCTGCTTCCTTAGGTTATATCTACTGCCCACTTAAGCAGTCTAGCCCCCCTGCTACCTTAGGTTACATAGGTTATCTACTCACCATCTTTTTCCATCACCTACAGAATTGAAGGGCCCAAAACTGTTGGGACTATGTCATACATTTGCCAACAAACAGGACTAGGGGCAATGATGCTGAAGATCAGGAAAAACTTTCTCACAGTGAGCAAGCACTGGAACAGGCTACCCAGAGAAACTGTGGAGTCTCCAGAAGTAGACAGACACTTGGAGATTTTCAAGAGCAGGTAGACGAACACTTGACAGAAATGGTTTAGTCAAAGATGATCCTGTCCTTAGGACGGGCTTGGACTAGATGATCTCCTGAGGCCCCCAATAGTCCTACTTTTTTTTTTTTATATATAATTCTGTGATCTAGCCCATTATGCACCCATCTTACAGTGTATTAAACAGGTTTGTCTTTCATTATTCTGTATTTCCCAAGTGAGAATGTCATGGTATACAGTATCAAAAGCTTTGCTAAAGTTGAGGTGTATTCCATTCACTGCTCTTCTCCCGTTTGTTACTTTGTCATGCAAGGAAATCAGGTTTTTAAGTCTGACTTGCTGTTGACAAATTGGGTTTCCTTTTCTGCCCGCCCCCCCAAATCCTCCCATATCGTTATTGCATCATTCACTAAATTACAGTAGAGGTTTTGGAATCAAGCACTCAGTTGTGGTGCCAGTGAATAAGATAGCTTATCTCTGGTGCTAGCTTCATGTACAGGATAATTTGTCACTTCAGTAGATTGTAAATTGTAGCTTTCGTCATAATGCTAGAACAGATTAATATTTTGTCCTTAAGATATATCTTTGGGGGAAAGAGCACTGAGGCTTTAAGGCCAAGTAGAGAGATCACCTTGTGAGACAAACAGAAACATATGGATCATTTTCTTTTGAAACATCTCCCCAGATCCAATTAATTAGTTTTCTCCAAAGTTGCTAATAAAAGGGATAATAGTGGTTCATGAAACTCGCTTTGTTGAAAATATTGGCAAAAAGCCCTTGCCTGAAACATGAAATTCTTCAGATAGTTCCAGGGGAGGATTAACATAATTAATTGAATTCTAAAATGTCAACAGGGGATTATAGAATTCCTCTGTATGAGACGTGCACTTTGCAGATCTCAGTAAGGTTCCCTAAAATGTCATGTTTCAATGTTACAACAAACTGGCGCTCCATTTTGTTCATGGGGGCTTTCTTTTTTTTTGTGCCCCAAACTGTAAACACCTTTTGAATTTCTTCAGTGCTTCTTCTGCTGCTTTTGTTTCTCATTCCGGTTCAGATAATTGGCACATGTGAATGAGAGGAGCTTGCAGTGCTTCAAAATATTCCTTGTGGTACTGCCTCATTACGGAAGCCCTCTGATAGAAAGCTGGCTTCTTTGATTAATGTATTAAGGGCAGTGGTGTAGGTGGGCAAAAATTCCCACCAAGTCAGTGCAGATGGGTTTTTTTGTAAGTGTGTGTGTGTGTGTGTGTGTGCGCGTGTGTGTATGTATGTGTATATATACATATACATATACTCATACACACATACAGAGAGCGCAAGCGCGATCTCTATATATATATCTATACTCCGAGTATCACTCCACAAAGAAAACACACGCAAGCAACTTCTGGTCTCTCAGATCAGGCAACCCTTTCCTTTCCTACCCACCCTGCTTGCAGGGTCACGTACTCAGTTCACCTGTTTTCTATGTCACTCCTGCTGGAGGACCCGCTGCTGCTGTCGCTGTCCTCAGTTCCACTTGCCTCTTCGTCTCCTTGCTGTCACCGCCCCCTCCTCTGCTCGGGGGAAGTTGGAAGGTCCTGTGCTACATGTCTCTGTGCCAGGTGGCTTTGGCCACATCCTCCACTACTGATTTCTGGTAGTAGTGCTGGAGTTTGCTTAGAGCCATTTTCACACAACCTACTACCTCATTGCAGATGCGATCATTTAGCTTCAGAGAGAAGGGAATTGAATACCTGGTTTGGAATCGGTTCTTAACACAGACTCTGGTGAGATTGGACTCAGGCCAGTTAAGATGAACACCAGCTGCAACTCTTTCCAGGTGTTTGGACCCCTAGCAAGCAACCCCCCACCACAGTCTGATCAGCCCTTGGCAGTATGTTAAGCTGGATATGCCTACAGGTATCCTGATTGCCTTGGAAGGGCTGCAAGGCCCTTGTTTAAGCACAGCTGTGGCAACTGACCACAGGCTCCTTAACTGTCTTCTGAGTTTGCCTTGTCTTATCCCTGCCCTCTGCTCTTGCTTCCAACCCTTTGGCCAGCTCTTTACTCCAGACTTCCAGTTTGAACTTGCTCTTCTTAATGATGGCCTTATCCTCTGGGCTAGATTGTTTATGCCCTGGTTCTAGTACACCTGGAGTTTTTGGACTGGCAAAGCCATCTAGAGAGTTTGTTAATACTTTAGTTTAATGGTTAACTTTCTGTGCCCAGTGGAGCTCTAACATAAGTGCCTGGCAATGGCGGGGTACTGATTGGATAAAGGATGATGTAGGATGACATATGAGCATGAATCCACTATTGTTTTCAGTTCAGGTTGTGTAACTGTTATGCAACTTTCTCTGGAAGTCCAGGTGTTCATTGTGGGGATTATCTGCCTTGTGGTTACTGCAAGTTAAAGGTGTGCGCATGGAAGTTACTGTAAGTTCAAACCCTACTTTAGTTCTTAGTAACTATAACTTGTACCCTTGCTCTTCACTTACAATGTTCCAATCAGAAGCAGTGAGTTTACCGAGCCATTAAAAAGGAATCACAAGTATTTGAGCCATTTACTTTGCATGTAAATCTGTGCAGGGCTTGACTCTGCATCTTTAAAACCTGCCGTCTGCCAGCTCTTTGTGCAATACTTAGTACAGTGATCCTGTTCTGTGCTCCTGAAACAGGTAGGAAGTAGAATGGTGATTGTTGCGGGTGGCTGCGTGATGCTTTTGACAGGAATATTTGGAAAGATTGGAGCCATGTTTGCCAGCATACCAACACCTGTGATTGGAGGAATGCTGATTGTGATGTTTGGGATCATCACTGCTGTGGGAATTTCCAATTTACAGGTAATGGACTTCTTACCATTAATAAATGTCCTGAAAGAAAATGTGGCCTGCATTCAGATTCCCTATCAGTCTGGTTCCTGGCAAGGGTATCTATCACAAAAACATTGACATAAATGGCCCCAGTTAACATTCATATGGTGGTTTCATCAGAGAAGCCCATTGCAGACTAGACCATCTAGGCTATGCTATCAGGGGATGGCAGGACTCCCAATAAACCCGCAATGGCAAAGCTTCCACGGGATGATCCTACTACCTGATACTCTCACTGTCAGGCTTAGAGGTGGTCCTGCCAGACTGACACAGGTTGATTTGGAGCACAGCTGTGGGCAGAAGAGAAGCTGGTATTGCTGCTGCAACCTATTTTTTCTGCATATCCCCACTGATTCCAGTAGAGCAATACTAAAAAAAACCAGCTTGAGGAGGTGGCTGTGTGTGTAGTGAGGCAGTATGGGCTGTTGGATGCAGCGCTGCAGTGGGACTCGGAAGAACTGGCTCTGACACAGGCCTGCTGGGTGACCTTGGACAAATCACCACAACTTCCTGTGCCTCAGTTTCTGAGGCTGTAGATGTGGGATAACAATATGGCCTTTTTTTCTCAAGTGCTCTGAGAGCAAATGATGAAATGCCCTTTTTGAGAGCCAAGCATTGTTGTTACATGTCTATACATTTATGCCTCCATTTCTTCATTTTGATCCAATTTTAAGTAGCTGCTATCCAATTGGCAGCCTGTGGACTGCAAGGAGCCCATGGGGGGTTAATGTGTGGCCCTCTAGACTTGTGCTCAGCCACCACTTCCCTCATTCCTCTGGCTGCAACAGCAGCTATGGTCTGTGGGCTTCCCCTCTCTTCTTCGGCCTCCACCCCCTGTGGGGAGGTGCAGTGCAGCACAGCCTGTGGTGCTGAGGGAGCCCATGGCCTGGGGCATCTGCATGGCAAGGTGCAGGGATGGAGCCTATGGCAGGGAGCTGAGCATGAGGCACCAAGAATGCCCATGCATGCAAATGCAGCCGTTTAGAAGCTGGACACACCTAAGCTTGTAACATTGAGTCCCAGTACCGGTCACAGGTTGTGTGTGTGTTTCTGTAGGCATGTGATTGTACATGCAAGCATTTCTCCTCAGGACCAGCCACCCCATAGCTTTTAGTCATTTTGAGCTGTGTGGGTTAACATATGCAATTTCTCTCTACAGTATGCAGACATGAACTCCTCAAGGAACCTGTTTATCTTTGGGTTCGCTATATTTGCAGGTCTGACCATTCCTAACTGGGTAAAGACACATTCTCAAGTGCTAGAAACAGGTGAGAGACAATAGCATGTAATTTGTTATGAGCTGCCTGTTCGGTAGGAAACGGAAGCAGAAATTAGTAGAGATATTGCGTGAAATGTCGCCTGCGGACATTATAAATAAAATCCCCAAAAGTTTTCTTTTGACTGGTACTTCTTCCCTCTGGATGTGTTAGCATTATGAAGCACCCTTAAGATGAAGAATTTTTTTTTTGTTATTAAATGAACGAATGGTTGAAAACATGATTTACAGTTCTACGGATGCAGCTTATTTTTGTATATTCCGGTATAAGGTGCTATTGGCAAGAAACGAGTTCCATGTTACCAGAGTTGAACCCTGACTGGAGTGTGTGTAGTGTCCTTAATGTTGGTGTTCAATAAAATATTGGGTTTGAAGAATAAAGGACCTGTGATTCTCCTGCTAATTAAATCAGGGGAGCTGCATGGAAGTCCCATGTCTTCGAACTCTTAGGCTGTTCATCATGTTTGCTGAAGTTAATGTCTCTGCCCCAAAGATTCTTTGTATGCATCTGTTAGTCCCCTTTCTTGCTTTGGTCACTACATAAATTAATAATAATGTGGAATAAAAAATGACACACATTAGGCAGCGGGATAATTCAATTTTATGTTGTCGGGTAGTGATCCATCATGGAGTATGGTTCTTTCTTACTGCTTCTGAGCTGCAAGTCTCTCTTTGGCAAGGTGATGGGACTTGTGGCAGATGCTCATTGCTTCTTCCCTGGTCAAATGTGTGTCTCTGCATCACTGACTGAAGCTTTATTTTTTCATTTAGGAATCATCCAGCTAGACCAGGTGATCCAGGTGCTTCTCACGACTGGCATGTTTGTGGGTGGATTTCTGGGGTTTGTCCTTGATAATACTATTCCAGGTATGATTGGCTTAAACAGTTGAATCAACTAGGCTGTTCTTGTCCAGGTTTTATTTACTAACCTCCTTTTCCAACCAGTAACAATTCAGCTCCTGTAGTGGGAGCAGCAACAGGAGAGCTAGTATAGGTGTAGCCCTGTCATCGCTAGCAGTTTAAGTGCTGTGTCATCGAACTCATCTCAGGTGACAATTAAAATTAGAGATAGTGGGGAATGTTCTAACAAATTGGTTTCTTGTTGGGAACTGCTTATTCCTTAAAACAGAAATGCTTTGTAGAGCAATATCAGCCTCAATAAAACTTGAACTGGAAAGGGCTCTTCATGTCTACCAAGCAATTTTTTGTCAAAACAAGAGTAAGAGAAAGAAGGGAAGGTACAGTGTCCTTGGGCATTCGCCTGGCATGTGGGAGACCCTCACTCAATTCTCACTCCAGATCGGACAGAGCAGGGCTCTTTGCAATTTTGAGATGAGTCTCTCTTTCATTCCCTCCCGTGGTAGATTTTCACTGAAAAATCTTGAAAAGTCTTGGCTTTGCCCTGATGTAGGAAAGGGAAAAAAATAACCTCTTGCAAAATTTCATAGGATAAGAAAGCTCTAATTTTAAGTTTTTTGTGTACACTAGGATTTTTACTGTTGAAGCCAAGCTGGTGTTAGCAATGTGGGAGATAATAGGACAAAATAAATCCTACTGTAAACAAAGCCTTTTGTGTATGAGCTCTGGAGAACTACCATGTAGTATCTGCTGCTGTTACTACCAGTGGGAACAAGGCTTCTCTTTTTGTCAGGCTTGGGGGAACTGGGAGTATGAAGAAGGAGCAAAGTTGGACTTGGGTTACTTCTCATAGCAGAAAGGCAGGCCTGTATTTTCAAATTGAGTGTTTTAACGGTACTGAGTGGGCAAAGTCTTATTTTACTTTATATGCCTAAATATCAGTTACCCATCTTCAAGAACAGGGCTGGAGAGGAGTCTGCATAATGACTAACCTGTGGCTGGTAAATGGAGCATTGTTCTGGGAAGTAGACTGAAACCTGCTCTGGATGAGGGGATTTAATATCTGCTGCTGGTACTGCTAGCAGGAGCCAAGGCTTCTGTTTTTATCAGGTTTGGGGAAACTGGGACCCACATCTCCAGCAGTGTGCTCTGCTGTGGGTAGGTGGACAGATGGGCAGACATGGGGCCACATTTTTGCAGCCTGACTTGTCCTCTTTGATCTTCCCACACTCCTGGGATTGGCAAGTGGAGCCATGGGGGTGATTGCCAGTGTGAGACATTACAGGAGGAGCCTTGATGGTGAGGGCTACCCTTCCCTTCTTAGATAAAGACCGAGGGTGCTGAGGGGGAAGACAGTGAAAAGAGCAGGGCACAGCAGGGTTAGGTCCTGCTCCCACTGCTCTTACTTGGACCAGCCAAATTGGTGGTTCTTAACCTTTTTGGCCTCAAAGCACCCCTGCATATCTTTCTGCATTTAGATTGTAGCTTGGTGATTCTCAACTGGAGTACTGCAAAATTCAGCGAAGTTATGGAAGGCACCTTGAGGTTAAAAAGGTTGAGCACCATTGTGCTAGTGGCTAGTTTGGGAGAACTGATTATGTGTCCTCTCCTGAGGACAGAGGACAATCTCCGGGACATTAGTAGTAACTGTGTAGCAGTACTGTGTGTGCAGTAACTGTGTTGTGTGTACACACCCTAAACTTGCATTGAGGGTCTTTAATTACTGTCCTCTCATGTCCTTTTGGTAGGAAGCAAAGAAGAGCGAGGAATCCTAGCCTGGAAGGAGTCCCATGGGGTGGAGTCTGGCGAGTCCCAGCTTCTTTCGGAAGTCTACAGCCTTCCATTTGGGATTGGCACGAAGCTCTGTGCAGCGTCTTGGGTTCGGCACATCCCAGTGTGCCCCAAGAGGGCATCTGGATCCACAAGACAGGAGGAGCCAAAAACTCTTGGAGAAGAGAACAGGGTCCCAACGGGCTCAGAACAAGATGCAGAGATGGGCATTGATACAAAGATATAAGCCTGTGGTTGGGAACTGAATTCACTTTCAAAATGGACGCCTAACAGCTGTGATTGTACATGCCCTGATCTGAATAGGCCCAATAATGGGCAGTGATGTTAGAGGATGGAGCAGGGGAATAGTCGACAAGACCTGTGCTTTCTGTTTCTTGCTCTGCCACTAACTCATTGTGTGGCCATGAGTCAGCCACTTAACCTCTCTGTGCCTCAGCCTGTCCCACTGTAGCAAGCATTAATATTGATTGGAGGCACAGCTTAGGCAGAAGCTAAGTAACGCTCCTGGAGGGGACTTGCTAACCCTTCCTACCTGGAACCTTGACAGCCCAGCGCATACACAGCAAAGACCCTTTCCCTCTCCCATTGAATAGCTGCTCAGCTGGAGCTGTGAGGTCTTCCTTTTGCTCCTAGCTAATTATTGGATGTGACATAGCGTACATGTAAATTGGTGCTGGACCAGGATGGCCAGGCTGATCTCTCTCAGTACTAGACTCGGGGAATAGGGATGAAGGGAATGCTCTCTTCTCTGTGATCTCTCTGTGTGGGAAAGAGACAAGAGAGACGGAGAACTGGGAATGGGAATTCCAGCCTGGGGAGAGGAAGAGAGAAGAAAAAAAAAAAGTAAGGGAGAAGGTCAGTATTGGGATTAGATTTGAAAGGAATGATGCTCTGCACTGGCTAGGTCAGAAGCCCATGAGCAGTCAGTGTTAACCGAAGAGCCCCACAATCCCAGTGCCCCTACTTGAATTATGACAAACGCTGAGAAACCCCCAAGTAGCCTTATGGTACCTGGGTTAGACAAGTGCAATAAAAGGCCAAGTATTCCTAACGCACTGTTTTATTAAAGGCATGCATTAAATGACAAAAACAGAGTTCTGTCTTTACCATTTTCTGTGAAGAGCCACTTTTGGCTTGGGGACTGCTGTCTAAATGAGTACTGCTGATTTCGAGGAAAGATGGCCTTGTGGCTGTGGGTAGGGAGGGCAAAGAATAACTTACCACAGTATATGAGAGGATAGGCTTTGCTGTACTTCAGCTGCTCCTTGTCAGCTGCCTGTGTGCATAGCTTACTTTGTGGTAAGGGAAATCTAAACTGTGGTAGCTTATGTGTCATTTATGTGAAAGTTAAGTTGTGTCCTGGAATAACGTAAATCACTGGGCTGGGGTCTAGAAGGTCTCCATTCAGTTCTTGATTTTGGTACTGGCTTCCTGTGCGACTATGGGTAAATCACTAGTCTCTCTGTGTCCTGGTTCTCTAGCCACCAAGTGAGAAAACATTTTGTCTGTCTTGGGCTTTTGAAAGCTATCCTAATACAGATCCTTAATAAGAAGCTGATATCATCCCTTAACAAAACCAAGACACTAACACTATCCTAGGCAAACCACTGCTGTACCTACCCAGCACCCTCCAGTGACATACCTCTGTTCAACCTGTATTTAAACTTATTGGAATTAATGAGGGGACAAATTCACCTTGGATGTTATGGAGCTTAAAATATACCTGATAAGCAAAAATAAAGAGCACTTCCTGGGTGCTGTGCAGAATTGGGCCGTAGTCTCTCACGCATATCTGAGGGTAAGTTTCCCTTTGATTTCCTGGTTGGCATTACCAAATGTGGTGCATTGTCCCTGTTCTCTGGTTAGAGGAAAACCCTTTGAAAAGTTTAAGCTGGAACCAGATCATGTAGAGACAGATGCATGGGCTTGATTTTGTGTTGTAACTAGTCCCATTGACCAACATCTATTACTTCAGTGGGGACTGGTCACAAACTGAACACTTGCCTGAGCCTTTCCAAGATCGGGACCTAGGACTGTTACCTCTTAAGAGTGAGAACTGCCTTCCTCGTGTTTTCTACAGCACTGAATAAGCAGTGCTTAAATAATGTGGAATGATTATTTTTTTGTACATGTCCTATGGTGTTTTCATCAAGAATAGTCTTTCACAGGATCTTTGCGTGCTGCTTCAGGGCTGGCTTTCACCACTGGCTAAGTTGTGTCTGTCCACAAGACTTTCAAACATCATTACATCCACTGCTTGCTTAAATTCCTGTCAGTCTGCCAGGGGGCTTGTTTTGATGGAATCCATCCTCAGCAAATATTTGTTGCCTCTGTATATGGTGGAAAAGTGAGAAGGGTTCAGTAGTACCTACTAGGATCATATAATTATGTAGGTTTTATTATATTCAGTGCTAAAGTCGTCATTGCTGATGTCAGATGTGGCAGTGACATACAATAAAACTTTCTATAGAAACTAAGTTATTCTTTCTGACACAGATGGCATATTTTTTTGGGGGGGGAAATATTTAAAATACATAGCAGAGTAATGATTGGGGGACTGCAGTAGAGTTAAGATTTCAAAATGATTTTAGTTGTAACTCATTATTTAACATGCTCTTAATATTTTAGCTCTCCTTTACTTCCTGTCCTATAGTTGTGGTATAGTGTTTCTGTGTAACATGTTTTTCTTGTGTCTTCATTTCAATAGTAGATCATTCCCATATATACCAGATTTGTGAATGCTGGGATACTATAGGGAAAACACCACAGCATAGATTGCATAGATTAGATTAGATTGCATAGATTTGATTTGATTGCATAGATTAAAAATTGGGGTGATATAACAACCCTGGTTTCTGGGGAAAAAATGTGCTTAAATACAGTCGATTCTCCCTCCCACACTATATTGCACAAAATTTACAAAAGCCAGAGATATCTTAACTTACATTGCTCTCCATCTTCATTTTCCTGGCTTAAGTCCAGGTTGACATTTAGAACTAATCCACATACAAAGCTATTCAGTGAGTTAATCCACTAGCCTTTCATATCCAGAGTCCTAGATTAAAATGCTGTTGCATACAAAAAGGATAATTATAAGCCATTAGTTCACATCACAAAGATGCCACGTTCTTTGCAGATGATGGACTGGGAGAGGTTCTGTAGGTCAGTTCTGGTACAGGATGGGGAAGGAGATTGGGACTGATAGACTAGCTAGCTCAGGGGCGGGCAATTATTTTGGGTGGAGGGCCGCTTACTGAGTTTTGGCAAGCCATTGAGGGCCACATGACAGGCAGCCAGGGGCAGATAAATATTAATTTTCTAAATTTTTTAGGGGCCCCGTGGGCTGGATAGAATCTGGCCTGTGGGCCGCATTTTGCCCACCCCTGAGCTAGCTCTTCTTGGAAGCTTCAGGGGGAGGTGCTTGCCTCCCGCGCTGCTATTGCCTACGCTGGGATCCCTGCATAGAGGAGACAGAACACAAGGGACGGATGGTGAGATCTTAGCATTTGTATGAACTCCTTGTAATTTTGGAGATTGTAGATATGTGCAATTTTTTTCCTCATAATTCATTGAGGTAGAATTCTGGAGAATAAGAGTCTGAAATATGGGCTTGCAGGCATATTGTGGCTGACATTAATTTAAATGAGTTTAAATATAAGTGATACTGTGCTGTGATATTGTAGCCATGATGGTTCATATGCAAGAGGCATGCATTTTTGTGGGTAATATCTTTTATTGAACTAAATATATAGGTGTCCTGGGGAAGGAGAGCCATCTGTCTGTTTCTGTGTTTGTACAGTAACTACAACATCTATGACTGCAGCTCCTCCATGCTACCACTCTGTAGATGATTAAAGTTTTGCTTGTGTTAAACAGCATATGGATGGCCAACTCATGAGTCATGAGGATGGGTACAAGGGTACCTGAAAGCTTGTCTATGTCCCTCCCAACTATACAGTTGGTGCAAAAAAAGATAAAATTCTCTCTCTTTAAATATAAATATAAGCTATGATAGGAAAGAAAAAAAATCTGCTATAGATTTGATTAGAGATTATAAAATATAATAGAGGGGGTTCCGAAGAAAGACAGTTTTCACTGGAGAGTTGTCCCAAATGAGCACTGCATGGACCACTGTTCATCATTTATTGTACAGTTACCCTATTACCTTGAGCTTCCCCATGCTATTTATTGAATCTACCTGTTCCTTGTATTGTAAGACCTGCAGAGTTGGCACTTAAGTCTGGGCAGCACCAAGCACAACAGAGGCCTAAGTCCTGAATGGGGTCTGAAGACAGAGTGAAGCATAAACAAATGATAAATATAGCCAATGTCTTATTTAATAGAAAATTTAAGAAGATAGAAAAGAGGTAAACTAATAGTTGGCTGTAGAGCTTCATCTGATCCAGTTACTGTAGAGAGGCAGATTGTTAAAGGTATTTAGGCACTGAACACTCAGTTATACACTTAAACACCTTTAAAATCTGACCCTTGCTACTTTATCATCTCTTAATTTGCAAGAGGTAAGAATTTAGTTTATTTTAACCATGCAGGATGTCTGATGTCTCCTTTGTGGTGGCTTGTGTCCAGCCTCTCTACTGATTCATGCTGACTGACCGAAATGTGTAAACAGATTTCAGTTCATAGCTAAGTCTCATCTAGCTTGACACCAGTGTCTCTAGTGTGCCTCTTAAGATTTTATTGTAAATAACTCAAAATCTGGGCGTCCACAAAATAAAGCTGAGCTTGTGACATCTATACCACAGTTCTCATTGCCAGTGAAACAACAGCTTCACAAAGACATGGCCTGCTGTTATTGCATATCACTGGTAATGTGATAACACCTAGAGGCTTCAATCAAGTGCTAGGTGTAGTATAGGCATACAATATATGCAGTTATATGTAAAAATGCTTGGTGGGGCAGAAATGCACTGGCAGAGAGGGATTTGGCAGGTATCTAATTACACTGTACTGAGCAGCATGGTACTGAGGGTGTTTTATCATTTGCTTATTTTCACATGCCTCAGAAGAGAAACATCTCCCCGTGCTGTAACTCTGTAGCAGAGCCATCACACTTGTTACTCGTGCCTTATTTCTAAGTTCCAGTGGCCCTTGTGTGCCTTGTGTTTAAAGCCTGCTTACTTCATTTCTTACCACCTCCTGTTGCCCCTGTTCTGCATCTTGTACCTACCGGACCGCCACTCCTTCTGTCTGTGTCTCCCACTCTCTTCCCCACTGTCTCCAGACTTGCTCGGTGCACCCAGGCTGCATGGTTTCAAATTCTTCCCTGGAAACCCCATCCCCTGTGAAACCAGCCACCTGCTAAGGGACTGCAGCACATTTAAAATGTAATAGGCAGAAATTCAGACTCCTTTCCTGTCTCGTGCTCAGCAGACTGGTTTTCCACTTGGAAAAATAAAATCTCTTCACTCCTTCTTCCCTCAACCCCCTGAGCTTCATTACGGTTTCTGCTTTCTACCCACAAGGATGACCAATATCTGTGTCACTTCGCAGTCTCACCCCACCCAAGCGTATCCTTTATTCAGGTTTCATGTTCAAGCTTGCCTTGTTTTATTACTCTCCTAATAAATTAGTGCGTACCAGGTGTGACTCCCCATCTTATGAATTCTGGGTGTGCCCAAGATTTAGGCCAACTGGCAAATACCACTTTGAAAGGGCCCTCTCTGCCCTTGGTTGTCTCTTATTTCTGGGCTGGGATGAATGTCCATCGCTCCTTGGAAGAAAACCAAAGCCTAAACTATTTTTTCCAGGCCTGAACTCTGGGGAGAGGTACTTAAGCAAACATTACCTGATGGAGTATGCTGGTCACCTGAGGAGGCTGATCAGAGAGTTACCTGATGACGGAGACTCGAAGTTTTGAATAGAAAGAGTCTCTCAACGATAATTTGAGAGAGAAAAAGAGAAGCAGTGGAAGCAAGTAGGCTGCATAAATGAGCCAGCTTTCATGAATCAGAGGTGAAGATATGACCTGCAAGAGGGAGATGCTGGATGTCCTAGAAAACTTGGATTTAATCCCAGGGATTGCTGTAGTGTGGTGAGAAGACCAAGGCAGGGAAACACATGGAGGCATTCATTATTTTGTCTTGGTCCTTGTGTTTCTTGTGCTAGCTAAAGTACAGAGTGACTGTTTTGAAATCCCCGCAAAACCTGCATGTCCACTGGCATCCATTGTCGAGTGTCCTTGAAAAGCTGGGCTGTAAAGGCAGAACGCCCACAAGGCAGGAGGTCTAAGAAGGTGTGTGCATAAGCTCCTGAGAAGAGCTCAGAACTGGTCCTAGACATCTACAATAATGGAGCTGCAAGTTCCCATTTCCATGGTAGGGTCCAGCTTGTGTATCAAAAGGCTTACTCAGACCAACAGGGAGTTTAAAAGCAGATAGACCCTGTGGAGCAAGACCAAAAACAGCAGCCTGGTCAATGCCCACTTGATGGAGTCTCCCTGGGCTGTGACAACTTGTTTGGAATATTTTATAAAAATCAATAGCATTGTTCTGTGCTCCTTCATGAACTGCTGGCTTCCACTCAGCTCTATTCAGAATTCAGCTGCATGCATCTTATTTTGTGTTTGTCTGGCATCACTGGATTAAGGACTGGGGACTTACAGGCTCATGCCTAGTGTCCTGGATGCTGGAGTTTCAGCATCTAATTTTTTTCAAAGTAAATCTTTAAACCTCATTTGGGAAGAGGAGATGCTCAAAAATGTGACCCGAGCATGACCAATGCCTGAGTGATCACCAGTGCCTGCCTAAGTTTGCAGAGAGCCTGAAACAGCTGAGGGGTGTGGATGAATCCATCTCAGTGAGGGCATCAGCTTTCAGATCCTACTGTTCTGTAGGGTTTCTGCTAACTTGACCCACCAGAGGGTTTTGTGTAGAAGGAGCGTGCAGCTTTGGCTGCCCGCAGTCTTATTGCTGAAGAACTGTTACCCATCCAAAAGGAGAGAGAGAGAGCCACCATACTACTGCTTCAAGGGAAGGAAGCGGTGTCTGCCTTCACCACTGAGTTGGGGGTGGCACTGGGGTGGAAGCCATGTGGGAGCTCCATGTGATAAAAAGCCATGTCTCATGATTTTGGAGGGCTGCAGTTTGGGATCCTATTAATCCACTGATTGCAGTAATAGCCTGCATAGTTTCATAGTTGGTAGGGTCGGAAGGGACCTGAGCAGATTATCAAGTCTGACCGCCTGCCATGGCAGGAAAAAGTACTGGGGTCAAACGACCCTGGCAAGGTGTCTATCCAGCCTCCTTTTGAAGACCCTGGGGTAGGAGCGAGCACCGCTTCCCTTGGAAGTTGGGTCCAGATCCTAGCCGCCCTGACAGTGAAGTAGCGCCTCCTGATGTCTAATCTGAATTTACCCTCTGCCAGCTTGTGACCGTTATTTCTAGTCACTCCTGGCAGTGCTCGGGGGTACAGGGACTCCCCCAATGCCTCCTGGTCCCCTCTGACAGGCCACTAGATCCCCCCTCAGCCTTCTCTTGTGGAGGCTGAACAGGTTCAGGTCCTGTAGCCTCTCCTCATAGGGCCTGCCCTGCTGTCCCCTAATCGTGCGAGTGGCCCTCCTCTGGACCCTCTCCATGTTGTCCACATCCCTCTTGAAGTGCGGCGCCCAGAACTGGACGCAGTACTCCAGCTGCGGCCTGACCAGTGCTGCATAGAGGGGGAGGATCACCTCCTTGGACCTGCTCACGATGTATCTGTGGATCCATGACAAGGTGCGGTTGGCCTTACTGACTGCATCCTCACACTGCCGGCCCATGTTCATCTTGGAATCAACAATGACTCCAAGATCCCCTTCTGCCACTTCGCTGATGAGAAGGGAGTTCCCCGGCCTGTAGGTATGCTGCTGGTTCTTTCTCCCTAGGTGCACTACCCTGCACTTAGTATTGAATCCCATCCTAGTCTTATCCACCCACCCCTGTAACCTGTCCAGATCTTGTTGTAGCCTGACCCTCCCTTCTAGCATGCCCCCCTCTCCCCACATCTTAGTTGCAGTTGGCATTGATTTTTTTTTTTCTTGCTCCAACTATGTGCTGTGGGCAAGGTTACTTAACTACAGTATGCCTCGGTTTACATGTAAAATAGAGTAATACCCATCTCACTGGAACCACTTGTCTGCCCAGCACAAAAGTGCAAAACATTTCTTTGGTATTTTGGAAAAAGTCTTTTCCAGCGAAGGCAAAGGTTAGACAGACTGTTCCACATTATCACTGATTCACTGAGTAGAAGAGATTTAGTCATATGGTTGGTCTCATTTTGTTAAAAAACAGCCCAGATTTCTCAGGGCTGGTCAACATTATGCAGCTGTTGCTGCTGTAGTATAGGTACAGTGGCAGTGCCCTGCAGTGAAGATGAGGTGTGTCACAGTAGAGTGGGATTTTCTTGGTGGTGCATGTAACCAACCATACTACCTCTGAGAATGAGAGTAGCTAAGCTACCACAAACTGTCTTCTTTCTGCATAGTTGCCTCCAGGCATCACGGGGGCAGTAGGGCAGGGACTTTGCTGGCATAACTATGTTGGCTATAGGTATGATCTTCTGACATCTCAGAGCTGACACAGCATATGCAGCTTTGTAGTGCAGTGTAGACTGAACCTCATTAATCATAACCTCCACTATCTGTAGCATTTGTTTCTGCTTAAACTTATTTCTGCATTTTAAAAGGATACTGAAATATTGGAAACAGTCAAGAAAACGATCATTAAAACTGTGTTGAGAACTCTAGAAAAGAAATGCTCAACAGTGAGCAATGTAATGAGCCCCACCTGTTTAGCTTATCAACGCTGAAGATGCGTGAGGGGTGACATGGTTATAATGTATAAGCCTGGGGAGAGAATGCAGACATTAAAGCCCTTTTTAATCTAGCAGGAAAGGCAACCCCCCACCCCCCAAAAAGCCAATGGCTGGAAGCTGAAGCAAGATAAATCCAAATGGGAAGACAGACCCATGTTTTTAACCGTGAAGGTGATTAACCATTCTAGCCCACCAATGTGCTTCCATCTCTTCAGGTTAACACTGCATGATGTATACTCACCAAACACAGGTTACAAGTCTCTATACCAGACTAACTGGCTAAGATTTATTGGCCTGTGATAGAAAGTCAGACTATATGATCTAATAGTCCCTGCTTGCTTCATACTCAACAAATATGAATGGAAAAATAGACACCACAAGTCAGTCTGATATATTAGATCAGTGCCAACAAAACAGCCACTTTTTGTACATAGGATGAATATTTGTTTAGTACCTGTAATAAATTTTGCTTGTGGGAACAATTCTAGAGATGTAAAGCAAGAGTCCTGCCTAATGTCGCATTGATGATGAAATACAAAACAGAGCACAGGTCATTTTATCAAAGAATAGCCAAGGTAAACATAGACAGTACTAGACAAAAATTATCTTTATTAGAACTTTATAAATATCTGTAACATGGAACATTTAAACTGAACAATTAACTGATGCACAAAAGCACTGATGAGGGAAAGAGAGGTCAACAGTAACAAATCACATCAATGGGTTCTCCATCCATGCACTGAAGCATCCATCTGGAGCGGAGGTGGTGACCAGGGGCATCAAGCACTGCTTCTGTTGTTCTAGTCAATGGAGACACTTCATTTACAAATCTTCATCATCAAAGGTCTCTGTGCACCTCAGCATCACGGTCTCATAATCAAACTGAACAGAATCTCCCTGCAAAACAAAGTGGGCTGTGTTTTTATTTGAATTCTGGTTGATCAGCACCCACAAACTTCAGCACGTGCACCCTTCCCTTTTTTGTAAACCCTGGGTACTTAACAGTCCAGGACAATGGCAAGGGTTGTCTGAAGAAGGGCTCCCTGTTTTAACTAAGTCCTAAGAACATAGGATTCTGTCATGTTCTAATGTAACTCATTTAGAGTTGTCACTGATATACAATGGGAGCAGGTTCATTTCTTAGGGACCCAGTATAGGCATATCCTGCAAGTTACTGTGTGATCTCAAGTCCTGCTGATTTCAAAGTTGCAGGTTTGTGCCTTACTTTCCATAAGTGTTTGTCTCTTTGACTGACTTGGGGACAGTGAGCAACTCTTAGGAATTGAAAGGCTCAGGGATGAAACAGTTGGGTAAGTCTCCCAATGCAAGTTTCTTTAGACCACAGATAACACTTTTAAAAGTGTGTAAGTAATATATGACAAGGTTCTTCGGGTGAATCTGAAATCTTTTATTAGACCAACTTAAATAGCTAGAAAAACATTTTTTTAGCAAGCTTTTGGGTTTAAAAACTTTGTCAGGTTGAGGAAGCCTCTGCAGTTGGGGTGTGCTCTTCCTGGATGGAATGAACAGTAAAGAAGCCAGAGGCTGGCAGTCAGTGAAGATGTAAATGTGCCCGAGTCCTCTTTTCAAAAACGAGCTATTTACTTAAATCCCATTTACTTTTAAAGTAATTCTAGACTCCTAAAACTGGATTTTGTAATATATTTAGTCATCCAAAATGTGTGAATAGCTGCGCAGTGGCATTTACAGAAGCATCTATGCAGCTCTGCCCATCTCCAGCTGGCTTTCACTTTCATCCTTTTGAAAATTCTACCCTGGATCTATATTAATGTTTCATCTCATCTGCTGTTGAACACCTTTTACTGTGTGGCCTGAAGACATCAGCAGTTCTGGACAGGTTAAATACCTGCCTGACTTCACTTTTGGAAATATTTTCCTATCACGCAACATCAATTTTCCCTTTCTGTTTCAGGCCAGGGTCCTTTTGAAATTCTTCTCCTGCCTTGTCTAAACACTGCTTTTTCTTTTTCCGCATTGTGGTCTTTCAAGTATTTTCTAAAGTGGGGAGACCCATGTTTCAACATCTCAGATCCAGACCAGCAACTTCTCAAGAGCAGCTGCACTTACTGTGTCTGTAGCTGTAAAATTCTAAATGTGCATCTCCTGAAATAATTTAATGTTGTGTCCTGAGAGGAGTGGAAATGGAACTAGTTGATATGAAGTGGCCAATGATAAATCTTATCAGCCCTGCATTTATCCCACAGACAGAGGGGGACAGGCAATGATGGGCTGTGTTGTAGGGTTTGGTTGGCTATAAACTGCATACCTTGATTTTACAGGGCCATCTACAATCCCACCCCACAGTTGCTGCATTTTCTTTGAGTTGCATGCATGAACCTGCAGGACACTTGCTCATCCTGGGATGTTTTTTACCATTTGTACTGCTAATGTTTGTCACTACATACCACAGTTAGTGGAGAACTTGCAAGAGGTGCTGTGCTACAGAGGAGGAAGAGTCAATGCTGCTGTCACAGCAGTAACTGCAATGTAATTAAGATATGGCTGAATTAGCTTTAAATTAGCTAGTTCAGGCACATGTGGCAATCTAGCCATGGCAAAATGGAATCCAGCAAGCTAATTTGCCCCTGGTGGTTTTGCAGGGCATACTGCTATAGCTTGATTGTTACTGGTTACCTAAGTGAACTTGCTAAAAGTTAGCTCAGGCAGCTCTACCTACAGTATAGACACTTCCAGTGTCTGCTGTTCATTGGGACTCTATCTCTGTTCCCAAACTGCCCCCCTCCCCAAAAAAAACCAAGAGCAAAACAAAACAAAATGCAAACAAATCCAAAAAAACCCCACAACCTTTCACTCTGGTTCACGGTATCATCTTCTAGATATAGTTTATTGTAAGAACCTAAATTAAAACGCATGCCTCTTGCATTTTGCTTACTGATGCCCCATGCTCTATGAATCCTAGCAAGCTCCCCTGGACAATCTCTCATCACACTGCCTGGGATTCATATGCAGAAGTGCACACAAGGTTTTGGGTTAAACTTGAGGAATCCTTCAGCTGGACGACATTGTGCCCCATAGCTGCCTTCTCATATATTATTCCTTAACTTTCTTTACATTTGTGCTATGCAATGTTTTGCCATTCTCATTCTTGTTCCAGTTCTAGTTCATGTTCTTTGTCTTGTCATGACTTCACTGACTCACCCCTTCCTCCACCTCTCCCAGTCCCCTCTTGTCCCTGCTGGGTTCTGTGGTCTGAGAGCTGCAAGATGGACTTGTGACAAAAAAACCCCGCACATTGTAACAGCTCACCACTGTGCTGAGGCAATGAAGGAGAAAGAACACCATGACTACCTGATGCAAACAGAAAGCTCATGCAAGTACATTGAAAACAATCCATTTTAGTTGCAGCTCTTTATTCTTTAGCCAGCATCCTTAATCCTTGTTCTTGTGGATGATCAGAAACTAGGAATGAGATAGGTGAGTAGTAGGAAGCAGGGTGGCAGCAACTATCCTGGAGATGCATCTGAACTCAAGCACAAACACAGGATATTGCTAAGACATCTCTCTTTTGGGTGGTCCCTGTCCTATGCAAATTCTCCAACCTGAGGCTCATTCAATCTCTCTCTTAGCCACTAAGATTAGGGCTGGGCAACATCTCTATAAATGACCATCTGTCCACTAGGCCTCCAAGTGTGGGCTTCAAACAGGACAACTCAGGTCTTTTGGATAGTTTTTAACTTCTGCCTGAAGAGATCAGTTTCATGCTGGGGATACCATGGAGGCAAATCTGACACCCATAGTTAGTGAATGTAGTTGATGGGTAGGTAAAATGCACCGGAGCTGCTCAATCAGCTCTAGTGTGATTGCTGTTAGAACAGTGAGACAGTGGACTAGACTGCCTAAGAAGCTGTGGAATCTCCATCATTAGAGGAGTTTAAGAGGTTGGGTAAGCATTGGTTAGGGATGACCTAGGACAGTGGTTCTCAAACTTTTTTTTCACGGACCACTTGAAAATTGCTGAGGGTCTCAGTGGACCCCTTAATAAACTTTTTTTTTGTTCTACAAATCAAAGCACACAACTCGTATTTTAATATCAGTAGTCTTACCTTACAAGTACAGATATTCTCAATTGTTCTGTAACCTTTCTGCGAACCACCTGAATGGAGCTTGCAGACCAGTGGTGGTCTGTGGACCACAGTTTGAGAACCTCTGATCTAGGAGTAGCTATGCCTATGTTCTGCTATGGGTATTTCCCATGTTTCTAGACTTTGCTAGTTGCCACATAGGGCTGGAAAAGAATATTTTTCCCTCCTGCTGCTATGTCAGGGTTGTTTTTTTTTTCTCGCTTTCCCCAGAAGCACTGTATGTTGGCTGCAGTTAAAGCTGGAGGGTTTTGACTTGGGTACGGTGCTTCTGCTGGGATATAAACCCAGAGATTCCTGGCTAAAGGGTCTTGCGCCTCTGCTCAGGGTCAGACTGATAGCCATATTTGGGATCAGGAAGGAATTTTACCCCATGGTCTGATTCGTACGGACTGTTTTTGCCTTCCTCTGTAAGTAGGGGTGTGGCCTTTTTCCTTGGATCTCTTGAGCATATTTTAACAACCTTTGAAGCAGCAGGTGTTGGCCACTGTGGTCCCCCTGCTTTACTCGTAGCAGATTCTCTGATTTAAGGTATTAAAAACATCCAACCCTGTATCTTGTCTTCTACATGGCAGTCTCAAGCACCTCTGAATGGAAGGAATGAAAGAATGGAGCGTAAGATTCCAGCTGGGATGACCCAGGGAAATATGAGCAAAGGTCCATTAACTGGAAATACTGCTTTGATATGCATAAGACTATGCTGCTTCCTCCATAACGAGCACATTGATGAGGCTTACCTGGGGAAATGGCGTATTCACAAAGAAAAGGCCTTTTAAGAACCCAGTGATCTGCAAGTAGAGTTGGTGGATATCCTCTGGATTTTCTGAGGTGCAGCCTGAGAAGGCTGAACTGAAAACAGACACGGAAATGCTTTAAATGCCCTGTCTCCTCCCTCTTCTTGCTCGCTTTTTCTCTCTCTCTCACCCCCCCGCAAAAAAAATGGTTCAGAAAAACAACTGAACAGTGGAGAATAGGAATATATTACTCAACAAATGATAGGAACACATTAGTATAACATAAGGAACAATTATCACAGCAAAGAAATTCAGAGAGACATGACAGATTTGATCCTACTGCTCTAGGGGACAGTATAAAGAAAGCATATACCAGTAAGGATCCAGTTGTCTTGCAGCTGGGGTGTTTAGATGCATTCGTTGCCCTTATTCATATGAACTCCTTTGATTTCTTATGTTAAATGAGACCACTTTATGTAGCCAAGAAAATGCCTCAGAATGTCAGTAGTCACTATGTGGGCATGTGGAGACTGACTTCCATCAAAGGCTATGCAAATACACCTTAAGCCTGGAAACCATGCCCACAATTTTTCCTGATTTCCCATAAAGTTCTGCTCTTGCCCCTTAATTTTTAAAATCAAGTGACAATAAAGCCCCAACTGTCCTAAATTCTGATCTGGGTGGAGGGAATGGACTTGTATCAACTCTGCATTGGAATATAGTTTGACTTCTGGCTTAAACCTGGTTTTGAACTTGAGTGTTCATATATTAAAGACTAGGGCAGTAGTTTTCATTTTTAATTTTTTTTTAAAGAAATTTTTTGTGTTCCAAGCCAAATCAAGTCCAAATTCGTGAGTCAGTCCAGAACCATAAGTGGCCCAACAATCAGCAAACATCCTCCACCCCCACCAGGGGCTTCAGATATTTCCAAAGTCTTTTGGCAGGCATTCCATGTGTAGGCCCAAGCCTGGAGGCTTGGGGTTTGCATGCCCCCAGGTTTTGCCTGCTCTCAGCCATAAGGCTGCAGAAGCAAGCTAGGGAGGAGCCTCCCATTTCCATGAAGTGGGCATTATGCTCCAACACCTCAGCGGGTACTAAACCATGCCAGAAGAACAGTTATCCTTGGGAATGCTTAAAGAAAACTATCTTCATGGACCCAGATACATGGTGTTTTCCCTGCCAGGTAAGTAAGCTAGTACAAACTCAACATCATACTAGTCTGGAAAACCACCTTCTAGATCACGGTGTCTCCCCTGCCAGGTTTTAAACTCAAGGCACCTCTCCATAATTTTAGTGAATTTGATGACACCTTGGTGAGAACCATGTGCCTCTTTGCAGGAGGGACAAACAGGGTTGGGTGGGGACATGCTGCGGCAAGAGTGATTGCTCTTGCCACAGAGCAATCTGTATTAGGTTTTGCTCTTCTCCCTTCTTTGCTCGGCTCCCCTCCCCCATTGTCTGCAGTTTGTAAATAGAAAATAAGAGTTTTACAGAAGCTGAATGTGGTTGTACCCTTCACCCAGAGTCCCTCTGTGTCATGCTGCCTGTGTTACAAACTATCGGTCAATAAGGGAGCAGAGTGGAGCAAGAAAGGGAGGGGAACAAAACCTAATGCAGGCAGCAGTACCCGCTGCTGCTGCTTCCCTGTCTGGCCCTGTGTCCCCTCCTGCTGAAAAAAAGGTTTCAGGTGGCAGTGGCAGCAGTGTGGCTCCCTTGAAAAAGTCTCATGGCTTTCCAGGGTACTGTGGCATCCAGGCTGAGAACCACTCAACTAGGGCCATAACATGGAATGTTTCCCTAATCTTAAATGTGCATCAGTTAATCCACA